TCGATTTTTTTACAGAAATAAAAAAACTCAAAAATACTAACCCGAAAGTGTACCATGTTTCACACCCCCTTTCGCACCTTTTCATTTTTTTTCAATTTTTTCATTTTCCATTTAACAGATAATCAACAGTCAAAACGATTACCTATCGAGCAAAATAGTTAATATATAACCTAGCACATGTTTTTAATACACCACTTTTTAATGTCTCTCAGCAAAGACAGACTGCACCTTTATTTCACACCCCCTCTTGTTGGATTCCTCATTCGTTCAGAAATGCATTTCATTGTCATACTGAAAAAACGCACTTTGGACTTACTCACCAACTGAACGTGAGTGCGTCCATTCACAGCGGGTTTTCAAGTGCCTGTCAAGCAAGCGATAAATGACTCGTTATTTCGTTGCACTTGCTTTTTTGAAACTTTTTATAAAATAAACGAAGCAATTTATTAATATTGGTCAATAAAAACAATGAAAGACGGATAATTTTGTGAAAATTATCAGAAGTGGTAAAAGGGCGCTGCACATGTCAGTTATAATTTATCGTGTTTTTTTGCTTTTTTTTACAAAAACCTCAATTATTTGAGGCAAATTGAAACTTTGGTTAAAATTGTGTGTAATTTTATCAGGAAATGGTAGTGAAGCGGTTTTTCCCGCCATCCAAAATGCTTGCTCAAAAGTGCATTTCAATAATAATTGTTGAAAACATCATGGAGACAATAACTGTTATCAACCCAATAATTATTAAGAAGACATGGTGCCAAAGTGAAAGTTGATGTGTTGTTTATCTTAAATGTGTTTTTATACCTTTTACTACTGATTATAAAAAATGATTATCAACAACTTTCTTACTATTTGATGGACTATCTTGTTCATTATATTACAGTAAATACATGTAACATTTTGGGATTTCAGCACATACTTTCATAAAGAAGAACAAAATAACTAAAATCATTAAAAAATTAAATATAATATATACCATAACTTGTTTCAAAAATTGATCAAATAGTTGGTTTGAAAAGTAATGAAAACCATTTAACACTTGTATAGTTCAAAAGAGACACACAACGACAACCACAGCTTCAATACGTTGTGTCAAATGAATCAATTCATGTTCATTCAATTCGAATTTGAGCATAAGTAAAATGATAATTATGGTTTTTATAATTATTTAATAGTAAATTTATTAATTTTATTAGTAAATTTTAGGTCCAGAAATAGTTAAATTATAATAATAAATAGTTAATTTATTATTTAATACAATTCCATTTTTATCTTTCGCAATGTCATTAATTATTTGATAAATCATATATTAAAACATATTAAACATTTAAAAACAAAATTATTTTTCATTTGACAATATTCAAGCAAAATAATTACATAATGCTCCAAATTTACTAATAATCATAATTTACATACTTGGTATTGGTTTATCGCAAACATGATCTTAAAAAATGTAAGTTCTTTTTTTACCAATGATAAGGGTTTATAAGGAGATCTCCAAACACGACGATATCAAATTATCTCGTTCGTTGCAAGGTCAAACAGTTTGTTTATTATGTTTAACAACATCAAAACCACGACAGTGACAACTTAGACTTGAACTTATGTGTTTATGAAGACAAAACAAAGCACAAAAAACAACAATAACAAAAAGACTTAATTTAAATTACTCTGAAGATAAGGAAGATGATGATGAGGCAGACTGCAAAGATGATAATTTGGTTTGTTAATTCAAACAATATAAGACTAACAAACACTGCATTTACTACACTAATATATTATAATAAAAATTAATTAAAAATTTATGTATATTTGGTTATATTTTTTACTATTGTAAGCTGTTTCCCGTTTTCTTTCAAATAAATTCTGTAATAATTCAGCTTTTCATTGTAATATAAATAGACTTTAACAGCCTTCTTCTAAATACTTCGAAAAAAATGCTCTGGCAAAATGTAAATGATGTTATTTTTGTTTTTGTTTAAATAAAAAAAATAAAATCAAATAACACAAAGACTAATAATGACACACAAATCACAACAAAACAAAACAAACAGAAAAGAATTTATATGAAAGAAACACCATTTTTAAATAATAATTGGTATTGTCAAGATTAATTAATTAATGGTACAATTAATAAAGAACAAATAAAACGAATGAACAAATGGCCAAACAGTGTTTAATGTATTTGAAAGTTGTATTAATATTTCAAAAATTCAAAAAGGAGCAGAAAACTATATTATTCTTATAAATTAGTAACTGAACACAACAACAAAATTATATTATTCGGGGAAAATATTAAACGACTTACAAATAATATTTTGAATGAAATAAGGTCAACATTGTTTCTTAAAAAGTTTTTGCCATTGAAGATTAAAAAATAATTTTTGTTTTTCTGTTTATTGTTTTGAGAATTTAAACATGGTTTTGAAACAAAAAAATTGTTAAACATAAAAAATTGATTTTTCAACAATTAGTCATAATTATTTAAAAATTAATCATTTGATGGAACCATTATTCATTAATTTCAAACAATTATTTTTCTTTTGAAATAGTGTTGATTAAAGGTACATTTTTATCATTATTTTAAAACAAAACATTATAGTTTTGAAAATATTATTAAACATATTGAAACTAACTATAGTTGAATAAATTAATTAAAATTTGTCGGCCAGTTGTGAAAAAAACTTTATAATTGTGTTTTTGATATAATGTTTATTTCTGTTTAATTGCAATATATTACAACCATCTTTATTTTGAAAAATTTATAAATAAATATGTATATTTTAATTGTTTAAAATGTCGTGTTTTCATCAACATACACGACTTTTATTTATGTAATAATGAAAAAAAAACATAACAAGGCACTTTGAAGTGTATTTAATTAAAGATTCAACATAATGATGTACTACTTCATAAAAACAAGTATATTGTTATTTGACATGTACGCAAAAAACATATTTTAATAAATTACCTGAATAAAACACTTTTAAATCAAAAAAAAATATTTTCAATATTCAATATTAACAATTTGTTTAAAATAATAACTATTTAATAAAATATAAAAACGAATACAACCTTTCAACAATTATTTAACCATGTTTTTGATGTGGATAATACATATTTATAATTGTAAATTAAATTATTAACAATTATTAATATTATTATTAATAATATAAATTGTTATTGTGTGTCAAAACTACTTTTTAAATTTATGATAATAAAATTATGTATTACAAGTCAATGCAAAGTTGTCAACAACTTTTATTTTATTTTGAATATAAACTTTTATCGTTTTTTACTAACAAATGTTTAGAACACAACTAAAAGAACATAAAAATAAATAAATTTATTTGGTATTGTCCAATTTTGTGTTGTCAATTTATTTTTTTTTATTTATTATAAAATGAAACTACGACTTGTCATAATAAATTAATTTGTGTTAAGATTATAAATCACTTTATTTATTGTTTTAGTTATAATAATTCCAATTATTAAATCAAGAAACGTATAAAAACTCTTTTTGTATTTTAATTAATACATCGATTTGTGTTTTACCTTACAATGTCGGTAGAGTAATTAAAATAACATTTATTTTTATACGATTAATAAATATAAAAAAAATAAAAATTCAAGTGTGATTCACTATTACAAATTCTCGGAAATTGAGACTTTACGATATCAAAAATTGATTTGTATTGTTCTGATATGCAATTCGAACTTGTTTGTATTTCAAATGGTGCGTTGACATTATTAATTTAATGATATGATTATTGTTTTTTTTATTTTTTCTAAATTAGGAAATGTAATAAAAATGCAAGGGTGCCATTCTGAGTTTTTTTGGTATTTTGTTTTAGTTTTGTTATTAATCCGCAATCTTAAGGTTAATGAATACAGTGGTGATTATTTTAAGGTTTAAACAAATTAAATTATATATTATTATGCCATTCAACAAACATGTGTTTTAAAAAAAACATATTTGTTTTATTTTTCTTTGGTTGATAATTTTTTTTATTTTATCCAAAAAAATAAAATACCATTTTTTCTTTTTTAAAAACGCATATTTATTTGAGGTTTGCAGCCCTGCTTATTATATTAATTATATATTTTATTATTAAAATAGTTTATCTAATTGTTTGAACGCTTATATCTGGCACAAATGAATTTTGGAAACCCACATTCGTTTTTTCTTTATTCTTTTATTTTACAATCTTTTACTAAAAATACGTTTTTCTTTAAAAACATCAGACAATTAACAGACATCGTGCTGCAGCAATTGGAGGAGTTTATGATGCAATAAACTTGGAAATTGAAACGAAACACTTGGAAACTCGACACGAAAGAGAACGTGTATATATTAATACAAAAACCACAAATCCACTTTTTGATAAAATTGATGGTGTGGTATTCATAGAATTGATACAAAATGCATTTTTTGTTGTTTCAGAACAAAATTGTACCAATTATCACCTTCACATGTTGAAGTTGCTTTTTGTTGTACTCCTGAAATAACACTAGAAAACGACAATTAATTTACACGCAATGTTGAGATAACCGATCCTGTATTATCTGCAATTATTGATTCCTATTGTGATAATTGATTATTTTTCGAAATTACAATTACAATTTTTTATTACCAAACTTTTTAATGAATTGTGTTTTGCTTTTTAGGACAAAAATGGGGGTTTTTAATATGTTAGTTTTAAGCTTACTAACAATAATTATTATTATAAATTAAAATTTAAACACAAAACATTGTAAAACATAATTTAGAGTGACCATATTATTTGTATCATCCATCTCATTAAATAAAAATTTGTGTAGCATTATTTATATTAGTACACACTGTATTATTACAATTAATTTATATTTTAAAATAATATTAATTAAAATTTTATAATTGTATATATATAATGAGTAAATTTTAGTTCTATATTTAGTTTAAATTGACACAAAAATGTGTTAAAATATATTTAAACAGAAATTATAACGTTATAATCAAAATGTCCAAGCTTGATGGTTATCACATCATGGTAATCTCAAAATAACTTAAGACCATCAAGGACTTTATCAATCTTGAATTTGTGTGCAAAAAGTTTAAAGGTAATATTGAGAAGTACCATTATAACCCAAATCCATTAAATAATATAACAGAGAAATACTTCCCAAATATCGAGACACTTCAATTGTGGAGCACTCGCGATGAAAATTTTGGCAACGGATTTGTTGTCAATATAGAATCAAAAGATGATGAATATAGAGCAATTTCAGACGTGAACAATATGAAAAAATCAACGAAGATATAGTAACTGTTTTGGAAAAAACGTTTTATCAGATAATTGTGTGGTTCACTCTTTACAAAAACAAAGATCGCAACTTTGTATTTAAATGTGTGACTTACACAAAATACAACAGACATAAATATGGCAGTAACATCCCATTAACAGTAACAGCAATTGGAGATGGCTGTTTTGATAAATGTGAAACATTGGAAAGTTTCACAATCCCATCAAATGTGAACTCAATTGGAAGATTTTGTTTTCGTGATTGCAGCAGTCTTAGTAATGTGATGATACCTTCAATAATAACATCACTTGGTAGTTTGTGTTTCAGTGAGTGTACCAGTCTAAGCAGTGTGGTAATACCATTTTGTGTACCATTATTTGGTTATCACTGTTTTTGTTGGTGTAGCAGTCTAAGTAGTATTACAATACCAACGAGTGTGACATCGCTTGGTGGAGAATGTTTCCTTGGGTGCACAAGTTTGATAAGTGTGGATATTCCATCAAGTGTGTCATTCATTGCATATAGATGTTTTGGAGAATGTTACAGTCTAACCAGTGTGACAATACCATCTAGTGTGTCGTCGCTTGAAAAGGGATGTTTTGATGAATGTGAAAAACTAAGTGGTGTGACTATCCCATCGAGTGTGATATCACTTGATGATTTTTGTTTCTGTTGTTGTAGAAGTTTAAGTGATGTGACTATACCATCTAGTTTGTCATTACTTCCTTATAATTGTTTTGAAAAATGTGACAATCTAAGTAGTGTGATAATACCATCAAGTGTTACATCAATTAAGAGTGATTGTTTTGTTGAATGCCCTCGTCTTAGCAGTTTAACTATACCAAGAAGTGTTCAAAATTTTAATGATCATTGGTATTCATCAAACACAATTATTCATTACGAGTAAGACTAATAATCAAGTTTCTTTTAAATTGTGATTAAATATTATTATTTTAAATTAATAAATTTGAAAAAATATATTTAAAAATATGTATTTTAACATCACAAAAAGTAATAGATCAAAAAATGGAAAAAGACTCGAGCTAGTCGTAAAACGTTGTCTCGTCGCCAACATTGTCATGGGATTTTTGGTCAATGAAAATTGGAAAATATCGGGATCATGTTCGAATAATAAAAATATCGTCGTTTCAGTTTTTTTCCCAAAATTTTCTTATTTTTTCAATTTTTACCTAATTCCTGGGGTTTTAACAATTATTTGTGTTTAACCGGCCGACAAGGATATAGTTCGTAAAAACAAACCAAATTTCGAAATCTCGGCAATTTGCCACATAGTTTTACCAATCATGACACAATTTTCTTATTTTAATACAAATTTTTTACCATTAAAATGAACTCTTTTTATGTTGTATTATTTTTCTTATTGTGTTATTTCTTTTTTTTGTTCATCTTTTCCCGACTTTTTGGTGTTTTTATTGTGATTTTTATTTTTTTTGTCAAACACTAATTTCGTTTGATGCATTTGAAAATTAAATAGGGTACAAAATTATAGTTTTACAATATAGTTTATCAATGATTAAATACATTATTTTAATAGTAAATTTAACTATTTAAGTAATCTATTTAAAATCAACAAAAAATCATTCTCAAAAATAATAATAAAGTTACTATACAATTAGTCGACTTACTTTTTGCTTTATGTTCAATTATTTGTAAGAAAATAATTATTTGTTTTGGTAATATTCGCGAGAATTGATTATTATTTTCGAGACAACCAGAAATCAATTCATAACAACGCCTTTTGCTCAGATAACGCATTTAATGAACACCGACGGCTTTCCAAGTACACGCATCCGTTTAAAGCACTTAGACTTATATGGTTTTATATTTATAATATAATATGGTTATTTTGTGGCTACTTTTTCTTTTTTTATCATATTATTATAATTATTTATAATTTGTTTTTATTATTTAACTTTTACTATTCGAATTGTTTTATTAACCATATTATAAACCATTAAATTAATACTGGCACCCATTATTTTTCTTTTTCTGTGTTTTATTGATCTGAAATAAATATTATCAGTCAATTGGGTCTTCGAACGAAAGAAGTGTTTTTTTCTTTTAAAAGAAAAAAAATATCGAAATTTTGGATCGTCATGTGTTCTATTTAAGTGATTGTTTTGTTTATTTTTAGAAAGGGGGTAATGAAATGGTTCGTAAAAACGAACCATGTCCTTGTTGCCGGCACAGAGGTGTCTGTGTCGGCCGGTTAAATTAATAAAAAGAACAACGTTTTAGAACAAACTCAATTGTGAAAATATCCAGAATAAATTAACAACAAAGATAAAAATAAATAAAATGAATTAGAAAAAAAATTAACAATAGGAAGGAGGAACTGGAAAAAATAATAAAAATTATTAGGATTTGAATTTACATCCACTTTTTTAATTATGAAAAAAACAGATGTTGATTAAACATAACTAACATAAAAATTCTTTATTTAATGTTAATAATATTTTATCAATAATATAATATAATATTAATTGACAAAAAAATCAATTATAACCAAACTAATTAACTAAACCAAATTGATAAGATCAATAAATAATTCTGACTTCAATAAAGAACACTCCTTTGAATACTCAGAATAATTTAGAAAACACCCGTCTAAACAATGAAGCTGATTGTTTGGACACTTTTGTTCATGTAAATAGAACTAAATTTAAATATTGTTTGCTAAAATACCGCATTTGTTCAAAGCTTTTTGTAGTGTATAAGTAGCCCCACAAGTGTGGAAGCGTATGTGTTTTCTATTGTCATAATCGAATTCACAGCCAAAAAATTCAAGTGTTTTATATGTGCATTAAAAATAGAACAAGCTGATTTTTGTTTAATTCTCTGTGATAATTGACTCTAACTTTATCAACGTGAAAATTAAGGTATTTTTTGTTTTTATCACCATAAAATTCGTCACAAAATGGACAATAATGAAGACGCTTTAAATCTCTATCTCGAGTCGAAAACCAATCCAAAACTGGTTTAAATGTCATACTTGACTTAAACATATTAGCCTGAGGATCGTCATTTAAAGATACATTGGCATTGCTTCACAATTTGTCTAAGCATGAAATAATCTTATTTTTTTATTAAAAAAATATATGAATCATTCCTTAACCATACGAAGTGAAAACTGGATATTTTTTATCCTTGTTTTTTATCTTAAAATAACTCACTTTTTTTAATTTTGTATTTGAACAAAGAAGATTTTTAATTAAAAACGGCGTGTCACAAATTAATTTAAAAAATGAAAACCCGATAAAAATCGAAGCGCTCTTATTATAATTTATGTGTATGTCTTGTAACAGCAAGTATTGACCAATTTTGAACACATGGAAAATAGAAAACATGGTTCTGTAAAGACCATTAAGTAACGCGAAAACTTATTGATTTTGTGTTTATGAATTTGTTTTTAATTATTCTAAAAATAGATAAAATATATATAAAATTTATCCAGTTTTCACTCTCCCACAAAAAAGTTGATTCAGTTGACTTACTAAGGTTAACTTGCACACATTAGGAATCAACTTTACATAATAAATTTGAAAAATTTTATATTTTGTTTGTTTTTTTATAAATGATAATAATATGTGTCTATATTCAGTTATTTTATACTCATCATATTGTTGATATTCGTAACAACTGTTTGGATATCAGTACGTTCTTTTAGATTTTGTTTCCAACAGTTTTGAATAATTTCGAATAAACTGTTTGGGATGTTGTTGATGTTTTCAACACGTTTACCAGCTGTTACGAACTCAGCTATTTTCCACGAGTATTTAAATATGTTTTTAGGATATATTTCACACCACCCAAACACTTCATACATTGTCACAGCAAACGAGTAAATATCCGCTTCTTTCTTGTATTTTTCTTGTTTTAATACTTCAGGTGCCATATAAATTGGAGTCCCAATACCCTTTGTAAAAGTCATGTTAGTCATCATCATATTAATATTTCTTGCACTTCCAAAGTCAGTTAGTTTTGCATTTACTTTATCTCTTGAATTGAGTGAAAACACAAGAATGTTGTCTGGTTTGATGTCTCTGTGTAATATCCCATTTTCATGTAAATATAAAATCCCATTTGCTGCACCTTTTGTAATTTTGATTCGAATTTTCATGTCAATTTCACTTGAACTTTTGTGTTTCATCAAATCCTGGCAACTCCCAAATTGAGCAAATTCAGTGACCATACAAACTTTGTTTGGTATGAACACAGCACCATAGAAATGGACGATATACTCACTTCTGAATTTGTCCAACATGTCTACTTCTTTTTCAAACTCTTCGATAGATTCGTCATCAAAGTTAAATTGTTTCATCTTTTTAATAGCGACAACATTTCCTCTGTAACTCCCTTTGTAAACAACTCCAAAAGAGCCTTCCCCAAGTTTCTTATCTTCCACAATCTCGTGGTAATCAAGTTTAGTTGACATCATTGTTTTTGCTGTCACATTAACCGTGTTGTACGTGTCAACTCCACTTGACAAGTTCTTGGAAATCAAAGTAATTTGACTTGTGATGTTTGATGAGTAATTTGGTGTTAAATATATCGAAAATTCACATGCAACCCCCTTCTTCAAAATCACAATGTCTGGCTCAATTCTGAGTTGATAACTCTCTTCGTCTGATTTTGACGATATTTGAATTTTCAATGTTTTGGACGTCGTATTACCAACACACAGAAGTTCGCAACTTTCTTTGCCAACTGGTATTTCATCACACTTGGTGTTAAATATCAACTCAGTTTTGTTGATACAAACGCCGCCTTGTAATGAAGTAAATGTAATATTTGACATTTTCATGTTGAACAGAGTTGTTGTCTTCTCTTTTTTCTTCATTTCAATATTTTTGATAACAATTTTAATTATGATAAATAGAATAGTTGTGATTAAAATGATTAATAATATACACACAACGACTATCACAACTATCATCCACCACACAGCTTTTATATTGCAAAAGGTGCCATTTGCACTTGGAGTGTGCCAAAACGAGCATTTGGTGCATTTTGAATGACCAACTTCTTTGCAATTTGTTATCAATGAAATATCAACACATTGTGAGTCAACTAAAACTTCATTTGTATCGCATGAAGTACACATGTCTGTTGTTTGTGAACATGTTGAACAAGTTGCACCACACTTCTCACACTCGTTTGTGTTGACTGTGAAATACCCATCAGAACACTTGGCACATCCATTTTGTGTTGTTTTTAGTTGACAGCCAACAATATCGCTTTGTGGTCTGCATTTGTTATTTGATGTTCTATAATTTGTTAAGTTGCAAGTCAAACAACTTTCTCTGTTGTTGCAAGTCCCACATTTGACATCGCATCTTTCACAAGACAACTCACTTCTGTAATACCCATCAACACATTTAACACACCCACCTGATGGTATAAACTGTGTGCAAATACCATCCAAGTCGTTGTTTGTAATACACTTGTGGTCACTCAAAAACATCCCATCTTTGCACGAGAGACAAAATGTTGAATTTGAGATGCAGGTGTCACAGTTACCATCACAACTCACACAGTTACCAAATAATAAATAGTATTTGTCGTCACACCTCACACACCCATGTTGTGTTGTTTCTTTACATTTATATTGTGTGTTATCTCCATTGTTTTGCATGCAATTTCCATTGTCATCTATCATGTAATTGTTAAAACATTCAACACATTTATTATTGAGTGTAAACGCACAATTATCTTGTGTTGCAGAACACCTCCCATTCTGTTCCATCTCTTCATTGTTTTTGCAAGTTGTCGATTCACAACTTCCACTCTCTGTGATTTTATAAGTTGTTGAACATTTCATTGGCTTCTCAACATCACATTTCATCCAATTTGTATTTCTACTCGAGCAATTTTTGCACTCAGAGTTATCAATGTAATACCCATTTTTACAGTAAATGATGTTGTTGTAAACATAATTTGATTCTGTTTTTGTTTGGAAACAATTTCCATCGTTTTGAATATAATAGCCATCATTACATATAATACACCTGTTGTTTTCACATGTTATACAGTTGACATCACCGCATGTGTCACAATTAGTGTCGAGTTCTCCGTTGTGGCATTTTATACAATTGGCACCATTTGTTGCTTTGCAGTTTTCGTTTGTTGTGCATCGCCCATTATCAATAAAATAACCATTTTCACATCTGATACACACATCTTCATTACCAATGTTACAATAATTATAACTTTGTATGCATTTGTTGTCAGCACTCATCAGATATCCATTTTCACATTCGACACAATAATTTTCTGAGTTGAATGTTTTACAGTTTAGAGCTAAACCAACACACATGCCATCAACAAGTCTTGTGTTTGAATTGCATTTAATACAAACAGTTTTTGACATAAAACTTTCCATCAAAATGCAATTTGAATTCATTGAGTTTTCGATTGTTTCATTTTCAAAATACAACACAACGACATCATTTGTTTTCAGTATATCATTGTGTGTAAGTTGGTGGACCTTTTCAACCTTTTTTCCAAATGTTACAAAACATTTTACATTCAACACAATATTATCAATGATTCCTTCCACATCCAATTTTATTTCTGTAATATCACTTGATATTTCAACGTTAAAATTTAAGTTTTGAGATATACTCAAAGTGTGTGTTGTCGAATTGAAATTCAGAGAATATGAATTTTGTGTAATACCTTCTATTACAGTCAATGTCCCAAATGAAAATTGGATTATCTCGTCTTTATACAGCGATGTTATATTTACACAGATATCATCATTGATTTGAATTTCTTTGATTATATCTGCATTAGTTATATCAACACTTTTTTCTATCACGAGAATTGTGTCTGGCATTTCAACAAGTTGAAAATTAAAATTTGAAATGTTTTGATTGAGATATAAATAGCAATTTGTTTTTGAGTCGTCACATGGGCAGTGTGGATAGTAAAACACATAATTTTTATTTCCATTGTATTCTGTTTGGTAATTATATTGATTTAAAGTACATGTCACTGTGTTATCAAAAATAGTTTTTATTGGACAGAATCTCATAAGTTTCCCATTTGATAAGAGACGTGCTACACCTTCTATAAAAGTGTGAGGAAAGTCTTCTGTGGTCAAGTGAGTGCTGTAATTGTCAAAATTCAAACAACTTGTATTGCTCATTGACAACACGTCAAAACAATTTAAATTGTTGATTGGATTTCTTATATCAAAATTTTTATAATCTTTGTACAAATGAAGTCTATCGGATTGCCATAATACAATAGGCGGCTTGTCAAGTTGTGGATTTTCAATCGTTAAATGATCACCTATTGAAAACTGACCGAAAACTTGAATTGTTGCATTTTCTTCTACAATTAGATCAATGTCTGAGTGAAAATATCCATTGAAAACAACACTTGTGTTTTCAGTTATATAAAATAATTGCAGTGCGTTTATCCAACTGTTGGAATAAATGGTTATTTCATTTAAAGATGAAAATACAAGTGATTTCCATTGAAGTGCGGATGTGGATGTGAATGTAAAATCATAACTAAAAAAAACAGAAGTATTAAACCAAGTATTTTGATTACAATATAATCCATTTTCTGATTTAAAACCTTCACTTTGATTATACCCAACTGGATAACAATTGAATTCATAAGAATTAACAAGATATATTACATATAACATGATAATAATCATTATATTATTATAAATTTTAAGATCCGCTTCATATAAATAAAACGTGCAAACACATGGTTTAGTCTGAGTCGGTTTAAATATTTTTTTAATTCGAAAATAATAATTAATTCAAATATTTATTATTACAAAGTCGTTATTTGATAATAGAGATTTAAACCAAAAAATAATTACGATGTTTTAAAAATAATAAGAGACATCAAAAAAATATTTTACAATGTTATCACTGTTTAATATATTATTTATTTTTTTTGAAGTAAATCAAATATATTATTGTTAGTAATTTCAAAATATGTAAACACTTGAAATTTTTATGTTTTTTGATGTAATAAAAATTATCATTTTAATTACAGTTTAAACACATAATATCATAAATTATAAATAACATTCGTAAATTGTTTTTAATTATTTATAAATACTTCGAAAAGTTCAAACTTCACTTTTCACAGTGAATTACACGTGTTTTATTTTAAGATTGGATTTATCTATTTTTTTTAATAAATTGTATTTTCATAATTAGTAACTTATATTTATTAAAAAAGTGTTAGAGTCATTCAAACAACGTTGTCCTTTCTCCAAACGTTGTCCCCTTCGATTTTTTCGATGCATTTTCTATTTTATTCGAAATGAATTCAAAATAAATTTAAACCCGCCATGCAACAAAATAATTTTTTTGTTTTTTATTTTAATTTTTTGTTTATTTTTCAAACTCAATAACAAATTAAAACAAAAAAACAATAAATTTCAAGATCATTGTTATTTTTCTGAACAGAAACGTTTTCAGATAACCATCGCAAAAGGCTGCGTTTGATTAGAAAGAACTTTAAAGGCGAGAATGTGTTACAAAGAACATAGATAGAATTGTAAATTGGATAGTAAGACCAAATTTACGTGTTTCAGGTGTGTATAGCATACCATTGTATTGAAGACTGTTGACAACATTTGAGTGTGGTTATGACACCAATTCTATATGTTAGTTGCTTCTTGGCTCCTTGTTATTATACATCAAATTACAAACACATAAAGTCTTATGTTTTTGTGTTCGCTAAACCCATTTAAATTTTTACCCTTGTTATAAATTATTAACGATTGTTAAATTATAGTTAATATAATTTTAATTAACGAGCATAATATATAAAAAATATCATTGTATTTTTTAATAATTTACAATTGTTTTCATAAAAAAATATAAAAAACAATTTATAACTGTGATAACTTGACCCGACGATGACAATATATCTCTATATGATGCTTCATTGGCAGTTTTGAATTTTCAATAAGTCTCGACTCTCGTCTGATCTTTTTAATGCTTTTTTTCTAAGTGATTCATCCTTTAATATGGGTCCTAAAGATGTCATACACAACTTGATTGCTTCTTCACTAACATAATCCTCGATCTTCCGGCAACTTTCCTTTATCACTTCACATACAACGCTCAACGCTTTTGTCAATCTTGGTACAAGTCCACATGCAATAAAAGAAGAAATAATATTCTTCGAAGTTGTGACTTTTCCCCATGCATTCACGATTGTTAAAATCTGAATTGCATTGTATGACAATTCCAAATAATCTTCTCCAGAAAAGGTGGAATCTGTTGAGCACATGCGTTTTTGGCTACCAAAGATGCCAACATCTAACATCTGTAGTAGGTGTGAAGAGTGCGTTGGCATGAGTAAAACGCGAACGTTGTTATCAGTTAAAATTTTAATTGCAGATACACTCACGTGTGATCCATAACGATCCATTATGAGTGCTACTTTACCATGATAATTTAATTTTTTTTCTTTTATATTCAATTGATGGTATAAATACACATTGAAGCCACTCGTTGAACAAAACTTTTGTCATGAATGACTTTCTTGCATACTTCAGACAAACTCTGTCTTTTGTTATTCCGTTCACTAATAATTCTTTTTCCACAGACAAAGTAGGAACAATGAAGAATAGCGGAAGTGATGAACTGTCCATACAAATAGTACCCAACATTGTTTGTCTTTTTTCCTCCCTGGAAATTGGCACGTTCACATTGGATGTACCGTCTCTGGCAGATATTATCACAGTGTGATCCATTTGATCCACCCATTTTTGGAACCCCGACTCATCACAATTAAATATAAAGGCGGTCGGAATTCCACTAATTTCATTATCAAGTATTTCAAAATAACAATTAATTTGTTCCATGTTCACTGTAACTCTTTCTTCTTCCATTATTTGACCTTTTGCAGTTTGTATTCTTTTTTCTTTTGCGACGAAACAATAGAGACTTTTTGCGTTAATGTCTTCGCGATCGAGGTCGTTGATTATAAACGACATCATGTCGTTATAAGTCGCAGGATCGTTACTCTTTTCTCTTTGTTTAACAAACTCGACAATCAATGTCGATTCGAACTCACTAAACAATGACCCTCTACCTGACTTGCCTCGCTGCTCTTTTACCAATTTAATTTGTCTCTTCCACACCTCTTTTGACAAATTTGTTGTCAAACTTGAATAAAATTCGTCACTTTTAATTCCTAATTTCTTTGTCATGTATTCTTTACATCTAAACAACTGAATTCGTCTATTCGGAGCAGCTTTGTTTCTTCCAAGTTTGAAAAATCTGGTTAATGTGTCGAGCACATAATCATAAAGGTCTACTCTGTTGATCTTTTCAAGATAATCCATTAGTTTATCACAATCAAATTCGGCATCTGATAGACAAGGTTCAATCTGAATGTCTCTGTTAAAGGACGGGTCAATTTCCTCCATTGATAATGAAGATTCTTCGTGTCCCTCTGTGTGGTCATTTTTGTCTTCGTCAACTTCATCAACTCTTTCTACATAGTTAATAATATCAATAGCATCATCATTGTTGACGTGTATTTCAGGACTTTGTTGTGTTTGAGGAACAACATTTTGTATTGGATTCGAAACAACACGTTCCCCCGGGAGTGGACATCTCAACTGTTTTAATATATAATACAGTTGGTTAAATCCATGATGTTTCTGTTCATAACTCTTTAGGATTGTTAAACAATTAACAATGTGGGTGTTAATTTCTTTGATGTCGAGCATACTGCAATACGCTTTATGTGATGCTTCAAGCAATTCTTCGATTACTTTACATTGACACTTGAAGTACTCCAAAGTTTCTGCCATATCTGTGGTGGTGTAATTGGGTAGATTGTTGTAATTAGATAAACTTCTATTGACATGTGCATACAATTGTATATTCAGTTTATTATACAAATCCTGTATATACTGGAATGTTTCGGCTTTAACATCTAAATTATAAATTGGTCGAAAGACATTTTCAAAGTTAATGGGAGTCGAACCAAACAATGTCCATATGTCCCAATATCCAAGTGTTGGTATGGGTGATGTATTCAGTTGTTATTTCAAGTTTTCAAATGTGTTTATATATTATTTCTTATTATCACAGTTTCATTTTAAGTTAAGTTGATTTTTGCAAGAAAAGGGGGAATAATAGAACAAAAGAAAATTTTGTTTTAACAAAATTAAAAATAATATTTACTAAAAGAAACTATATTTTTTATTATAGTTGAAAACTGATGGTAAAAAATGTTGAATTTGTCTTTGATTTAAATTTTTGATAAAATCGTTTTTGATTCTAAAAATATAAAACTAAAAGGATTAGGTTTGGAGAAAGGACAACGTTGTTTGACTGACTCTAATATTATTACGTTTTAATCAAATTCCAATAAAAATGGATGATAATTTTTTTTGCTAAACGTTGTCTGCCGATTTTTAGACCATTATAAATGGAATATATTGGGATTTTTTTGAAAACCCCCAAAATCATTGTTTCAATATTATTCTGTTTTTTTCGTTTTTCCCTAATTCCCGTTTTTTAAAACAAAAATCAATTATTTATTTGTCAATAAGACAACGTTTGGGGAACACACAATGTTGTTCGATTTTAAACGGGTGTGATCATTTCTATTGTGCTAATAGATCTGAAAACCATTTTTTCAAAAACTTATTGTTGATAATTACATGAAAATAGTGTTATTTAATTTATTTATTATTGTTTTAAATTAAAGTCAGTCTGGAAACCTTATTTATTCCAAAAACCTTATTTATCGACAAAAATAGGTTATTTTTTGTTATTTGGTTTTGTTTTTCAATTTTATTTTTTTTCGTTTGAAATCTTTGTTTTTTCAATCAAAACGAACTTAAACAAATTGACCAATTCGATTTTTTACGCTCAAACATCGCGTATAACAACAAAAATGGTGCCGTTGTTGTAAAAATGGTTGGGCGGATTTTTTGTGTGTAAAATGATACATACAATACGAGAATTTGACAACAACCAACTTCTATTTCATCAAATAAAAATAAAAAACAACGATACAAATCATAATTGAAAAGAACACCACGATTGGCAGACTCGAACATCGAATTGCAGTTTAGTGGTCGATTAAAAGCCGTTCCTTCGAAATAGTTCTGGCTGCGTGGACGTCATTTCGCTCTCCGAAAGAGTACACCAAAGTTGAAAAAGTACTCACGCCTAAAAGCGAAAATCTTCAAAAAATGATCCAAAAAACTCAGTTTGTTTTGTGTATTTTCCCGTTAATTTGGGATAATAACACCATTATTATCACCATTTATTGACAAACAGAAAAAATGAAATGATTGGCTAAATGACTTCAAAACCATTTATGTTTTGGTTGTGTTATTGGAAAATAGTTTAAATAATACTAATATTAATTAAACATCCCAAAAATGCTTTTTTTTCATAGGAAAATAAATAAGGTTTTTGATATAAATAAGGTTTCCAGACTGACTTTATTATGTTTTTCTACACACATAAAAACATAAAAAATAAAATGACACCACAATTGTAATCGAAGAGAAAAAAATAACACGATTCAACAATTACTAATTAATAATCTAATATATTAATTTATATAATTGGATTTATTTTAATCCTATCCACATCCATTGTAAAAACAGATTAAAATATAAATTTGTAAATATTTTGAATTTGTAAAATATAATTTTAAACTTAATATATAAACTGTTTTTAAAAGTCTGTATAGTGGTGCAGGGTCGGCC